ATTGTAATCAATATAAGTCCCTGTGTGTTATTTTGGGCACCCATGTGGTGGGGGGTGGCTCGGGCAGCTTGGAGGAAAGATTTTTCCTTACACACTATGACTCTTTGTATTCCACATGATGCAAAAGCTGACTGGTTCTTAAGTGCCAGCTAAAGGAGACCCTATGGCATATACTGCCAGTTCCCTCTCTGTACACAACTACAATTCCCATGGTCTGTCCTAAGGCTCAGATAGTTCACGTCCACACTCCCCACTCTTCCTTTCTCAGGTCTAATCTCCCAGCTGCAAACTCAAGTCTGTTTCCTGATTTCCTTCTCTCACAAGGGGCGGAGAGACAACAGTGATTTCCCTTCTCTGTGTGGTCTCTTTGCTGTTAATGAATCCTTCCTGTTCAGTCCTCACAAGCTCTAGCTTCTGCCATTCGAGGTCTTAAAAGAATGAGCCCTACACAGACTCCTTAGCACTCAGTGGTAAGCACAACTCAAATGGTGAAGAACATAGCACATTACAAATATTACAGATATGATGGAATGGAGATGAAAAACACTGATTCCCATACAGTGTACTCTGTTAAAGTACCAACTTCACTTGATTTTAGGCAAGGACTGTAGGCTGCATCATCTAAAACAAGGGAATATTAGTAGTATATTCCTTATAGGGTAGTTAAGAGCTTAGTCAGGAAATATTTTGAAATGAACTTAGAATAGTGTTTGACATATGAAAAGCATTATATAGGTGTTTACCACATGAATATAACAAAATAAGATACCAAAGATGCAGAGAGCAGACTCCATCCTTGCCTTCTCTAGCCACACCTTCTGGAATGAGGAAATCAAACTTTCAGCCAGATAAATGCTCTCTAAAAATATTTTGCTTATATAAAACAAAGTGGCAAACCTTAAACAAATAGTTATCATTCATAGAAAGAAGTTATAAGAAGGTTGTATTGGCCTTAAATGTAATTTTCAGTGATCACTAGGTTCAGTGGACTGGTGTGCTATCCAAGTAAACTGGAATGATGAGTTGTAACATAGGCACATGCTAACCTGATTCGGTCAGAACATGCCTGCATCCTCACTGGGGTTTACAGGAAGGAGGGTTCATAACATGACCAGAGGCCTAATCTTCAGGAAGATTCAATAACTGTGTAAAGGCCAAAAACCAGGTTTCATAAACAAAGCTCCATTCAAATGATTTGGGGAAACTTGAAAACATCTACTCTTGCTGGTACTCAGGAGATGTTACACGCATCATGATTTTGCTGAATGAACTAGAAGGTGATATCACATGTTGGGCCCCTTTGTACTGGACATCTGTGAGGGCAGAATCTGAGCTTTTGGTCCCTGACAGGGATTAACAGCTGACACTACTTCACTTTTATTAAGGTACTCAGAGAAGAACTGGTGAGGTTGTTCAGAGGTAAAATAACTTCATGCACAAATCTGGTGACCCTGGGGTGACCCCTGGAAGGAACATAAAGGCGGAAGGATGTTATGGGATATTTGTAGACTGTGTGACGATGTATTGCTGTGATTGGAGGGATAAAAAGCAAAACAGCTAATAGCTAGGCAGGAGGTATAGGCAGGACTTCTGGGCAGAGAGAGTGAGAGAGAGAGAGAGAGAGAGAGAGAGAGAGAGAGAGAGAGGAGAACTTTGAGAAGAAAGAAGGAGTAGGCACCAGACTTGGAGGAAGCAGGATGGACAGTGCAGGCATAGGTAATGCCACGTGGCAGAACATAGATTTCTATAAATGGGTTCATTTAAGTTATAAGAGCTGGTTGAGGACCAGCCTAAGCTAAAGGCTAAGCTTTCATAATTAAAAAATTTCCATTTCGTTATTTGCAGGCTGGTGGTCCCAACAAACAGGTACTACTACAGGAGGAGAGAGCTAATCCATAAAGCTGTCCTCTGAATTGCACATGTGTGTCAAGACATGTGCAAAACTCCCATATATGATGCAGAAACATATACAATAGTAAATTATTTGGGCCGGCTGAGGGCTCAGCAGGAAACTCATTGCTAAGCTCAAAAATCTGATTCTCTTCCAGGGACTCTCATGGTGCAAGCAGGGAACGGAATGAGAACATACACTTAAGTGTTTTCCAACCTCTACATGTGCCATAGCATTCCTCCATGAATAAAAAACGGAAACATGTTTTGAAAGAATTCTCTGAAAGGATTGGACTTCAGAAACTAATTTCTGTAGCATGGATTATATCTGGAACCTTGTGCTAGTTTTAGTACTGGTATTCTTATCAATGGTGACATTAAAATGCCATGTGAAAAGAAACTCATTGTACTGATTGTTTTTGTCAACTTGACACAAACTAGCGACACCTGAGAAAGCTCAGCTGAGGAATTGTCTCTATCAGACTGACCTGTGCCCAAGTCTCCAAGGCATTTGCTTAATTGCTTAATTGCTAGGAGGGCCCATCCTGGTATACACTGTGTATCCCTAGGCAGCTGGCCTGGGCCATTTGAAAAAGTAGCTGATCAAGACAGGGAAAGTAAGCCAGTAAGCAACTGGCCTCTGCTTCAGTTCCTGCCACCAGGTTTCTGTTTGAACCCCTGCTTTGGCTTTCTTTGATGATGGGCTTTAATCTCTAAGCCAAAAAAAAAAAAAAAAAGAAAAAGAAAAGAAAAGAAAAAAAAAGAACCCTTTCTACCCAAGTTGCTTTTGGTCATGCTAATGTTTATCACAGCAAAAGAAACAAAAACTAGTATTCTTACAATGCCCTAAAAGCATAGTTTACATTTGTAGTTCTTTTTTCTGAGACATTGCAACAGTAGACTGAAGGAGTCAAGACCTGGCATGATTTCCAAGACCAAGGAAAGAACCAAGGCAAGAGCTCACAGTTGTAAGATGTCTGCATGCCGTTCCTCTTCAGGAGGGGGCATATGATTCTGCATTGCTGGCCATTTGAACCACATCCCTAACACTTCCCGAGAGAAAATGATCACTATGCTGCCTGTGTAAACCTTAGAAATGTAGACAAACCAAAACTAACATTGTTTAAATTCCTAGTGTTTGAGAGTTTGAGAGATGTGAGACACGTGTGGCCCAGTCAGGAAGCAGGAAGGGAGACGTTCATGCTTGATTCTTCCTGGGAGCTTATAGAAAATTTTAAAATGTTTTTAACAAGACAAACTCAGAAACACGCTAATATGAAATCGGTATTATCTCAATGATATCATTATTATAAATTATTAAGTAGTCTTTATATTATGATAAATATGATAACAATATAATGGCATTATGCTGATTATGTTCATTGTTAATGATACTGAGAATTTTATATCAGTTAACATTCTATTAATTGTAATATAAACAATAGTGAAATGTTATGTGAATTCAACTGCAACATTTGTGCAAAAAATGGGAATTTATTTCTCAGGACTTTAGCTTAGTAGAGGCAAGCAGAAGACATCTCCCTTCACAGTCTATACTGCTTGTTAAAAATATAAATGAGAGTATATTACACATCCAAAGTTTTCAGGATGGTAGAAAACTATGGGTAAAGCACAAACATTTCACTATGAAAGCAGGTGTTGAACGTAGGGTGGTGACATAGGCCTTTAATCACAGCACTTAGGAAGCAGATTGAGGCAGATCTTTGTGAGTTTTGGTGGCAGTCTGCTCTAGATTGTGAGTTCAAGGATAGCCAAGGCTACATAGTGAGACCCTGTCTCAAAAAGAGAGAAATAAAAAAAAAGGAAAACAGGTGTTTTCTCTAATACTCATTCATACTTCAGTGCAGGGCTACAGTGGGCCAATTTTGATCCTTTTTCTTCTCTTTGAGATGTCATTTGTGAGGAGAAATGTCTAGGACATGGATTCATTTCCTCCAACTTTGTTTCAGGTTCCCTTGAAAAGTGTATGCTCATTGTGACTCCCACACTTCATAAATTCTAGCGTTACTTCACTGGGACACCACCTTACAGTCTACTAACAAGAAATAAAAGTCACAGTTACCAGTACATAAAAACTAATTCATAGGTTATCCATCATGTTTATGGTTACAATGGTATTAAAAATAAACTTCACACATATCTCCTGGAAAAGGAGGGAAATACTCCTAGGTTACTTTGTGTTTGTGAATCAATATATGTGGCTTAGAATTGCTAAAGATTCTTGGTATTTATTTTAATAAGTACTTTAAAAACATTGTACAAATGGATCATTATGTGTGACTCAAGTAATTCCATCCTAATTCATAATTTTATTGTGAATTTTTAATTTAAAAAGTGCTTTATGCTTCATTTCAAAATAAATATAGTCCTCATAAAGTCTCAGGAAGGAAGAGTTCAAACATTTGGCTGGGTACACAAAACATAACATCTACTCTAAGTCTTTTACTAAGCATGACAGTGTGGCCTAGGGACATCACACAAGGATAGTGACTCGCTTAGCAAGCACAAGGCCTGGAATTTGACTCCTCACACTACAGAAAAACCAAAACTTATAATGAAAAGCTTGCCATAGACCCACAACAGGGAAGAGTCAGAGAACTGAGAATGAGGAAACAGCACAAACTCTGTCCTGTTTCCCAGCTCTGATACTTCCATGGGAGCCAGTGCCTATAAGCGTGAAGTTCTTCCTTGATATCATCGATCTAGAAACAGGAGATGAATGTTATTATTTACTGACAAACTGAAAGATAAAATGTGTGGACTTCGATAAGTAAACATTATACTATAGAGAAATTTTGTCTTCTTGGCATTATCAACACAAAGTAACAAAACAAAAACAGGCTTGGTATTAAGCCATCTTTCATTTAAGCCCACTTAGGATTCTATAGATTTTTTTTTTGATTTTCCAGGAATTCTCAAAACTGTCCAACCTTAATGGAAATGTCTAGAGGGTAAGTAAATCAGAAACTCCAAAGTTCAATAGATGAACTGAGGCTGGTAGATGAAAAATGTATCTGAAAGCATGTCAAATGTAAACATCCACTAAGGTTACATCAAGAAACTCAAGTCCCGTGTCCACATGCCATTACCTGATTGGGCGATTCTCTTTACTGTCAAAGAGGGAAAAGATGACCTCCAGCTCCTCTCCCAGGTTGGAACACATGAGGCTCTTCATCTGGACAAAGAGGTGGTGACTACTGGCCTGCATTGGGGTGTCTTTCTTCCGATGTCGATGCTCCATCTGAATGATACACACCCCACCAGGAAAAACACGGTCAGAGTGGACTGAAGAAAAGAATGGCACAAAGCTGTGGTGTGATGGGGACTGAGACAGTAACATTCCTTCCCATTCTAGATTCATGCTAATCTAAATTTCAAATTTTCTTCTAGTATAAGTGCTAAGATGATCAAGGGCTCTTGCTTGAGGATTCCTTTTAAATTTTAATGTTAAGATGATATCAACTCATGGCATAAATCTGGGAGGGAGGAAGTTCAAAGGATTTCTGCTGATCCTAGTCAGCTTGCAGGATTGGAACAAACCAGTCATTCTAGAGAACAGACAAGAGAGTTGGGCTGGCGTGGGACAGTTTGTAATTCCAGCTGCTTAAGAGGCAGAGGCAGGGACATTTCAAGTTTAAGACCTACCTGCTTACAAAGTGAGTTCAAAGTCAGACTGGGCAACTTGATACCTCCACCTTCTCTTTCTCTTTCTCTTTCTCTT